CATTACTCACTGTGTGAAGTACTACTTCCCAGTACTCTTTTTCTTCTTCCTCCACCAAAATCTTAGGTGGCTATCTTCTGCCTTTCACTAAAACTTTGGCCCATATTCCCCACAGTCCTCCTTTTTAAATATGGAAATATGGTCTGGGTCACAATGTTCACATTCAGCAGACAGGAAGGGTCTGAGACTGGGCAATGTGATGTGACCAGAGTCCACTGGGGCATCACACACTGTTTGGAAGTTCAGGGGAATTCAGAATCTATTGGGAGGACAGCCTAGATCCGGTCCAAGTCTGCATATTGATATACCATAAGTGTATTGCTCTGATTTTAGACATCAAGGCGTAGACGCAAATTAAGAATTCAACGTTTGAGAATCACAGGCTGTCATTTTGTGTCAGTCTGCAGCAGCTTTCTAGAATGCAGCTTCCTCTTACTCTTTACTCCATGCCATCTACATTCATCAGCCTCATAATATATTCCAGCCATCAACTGCCTACACTTCAAATAAATCACCACCAAAAAGCCTTCCATTCCTTCGCTCTCTTTAAATATAAGAAACCCAAAGACTGATTAAGATGCTCTGAGCACTTCAAACAAGCATGATAGTCATTGCCCATCAAGGTGGAAGGCTCTGAATAGTCTTGCTGACCGCACAGCAAAACACCATTTACCAACCTGAGCAGAAGGTAGATGCAAAGTTCTGGAGGGCCAAGTCCACGTCTTCCACACTGGGCAGGGCCAGCAGGTGAGGAAGGAGGCTCTCGAGGGACTGCACAAACAGCCTGGCGCTGTGCTGGTCAGCTTCCTGGTTCTTCAGCAGTTTCAGAGACAGAGCAGCAGTTCGCAGGGACCTGTGGCCCAGGCAATCCCGAGGGGTCTGCTCTTCATCAGCGAGGGAACAGTTGTCCGACCCAATGTCGGACACGTCAGACCGCCCGGAGTCCTTTTCTGCTGCCATTGAGTACTGATCGCAGGAATCAAATTCCGTCCTGGAAAGGTCCTGGTCATCGACGCTAAAATTGCTCTCACTATATCTGGATCCGTAGGACCTCATCCTGCAGTCCACTGACAGGAAGTTGGTTATATCCGGGTAAGGAACCGTGTGGCTTCTTTGCACAACATCTGGCTGGTCTACTGCCTCCGGTTCTGACGCTTTGCTCAGCATCTCCTTGCTCTCCTGGATGGCTGGGGATTTGAGGCCGCTCTTGTGGTTTTCGGAGTGGTCCTCGGGTGTAGTCTGACCCAGCTCTCCCTCCAAGGTGGTCTGACCTGTGTC